GCTGGTGGTAATGGTGGGTTAGGTCATGAGCTTTCTAAATTCTGCTGGTAAAAGAAAGAGGCTGATAGTAGAATTCCATGAGTCGATTTAGGTGTAGTCCTTAGCGCAGGAGGTTGGGTGCTCAGTAGACATCAGCTCTCCGCCATGTTATCCACACACAATGCCTGTGCAGAGTCGGCACCGAAGAGATGTTCCTCTCACCTCTTACATGCCAGCTTTCCATATACCATAAATAGGAATGGATTTTTATCAAAAACCATGCCATGTTATGACTTTACCTTAGGTCCTGGTTAAATTTTCTAGCATTGGGCCGAGCGCTGTAACCAAAAGCAACCTGAGGAAGGGTTTATGTCATCTTACAGCTTAGAGTCCATCGTGAAGGGAATTCCGAGCAGGCACTCAAGGCAACTTTGAGATGGGAGCTGAAGCAGAGGCCATGGAGAAAGACCGCTTACTGGCCTACTTTCTTAGACAATCCAGAGCCACCTGCCCAGGGATGGCACTGCCCACAGTGGACCGGGCCTTCCCACAGCAACCACTAGTCAGGAAATTAGCTTCACAGACTTCCTATGAGCCAATCTGATGGAGGTATTTTCTCAATCGAGGTTCCCTTTTATCTCATGACCCCAGCTTGTGTCAGGCTGACCAAACACTACCATGCACATCTGCTTTCTGAGAGTTCTCATTTCATGTAGCTCTAGAGATGTTCATGTCCTAACTGCTAGAACCTATGGTTATTGCTTTATGTGGTGCACACACACACACACCTGCCTTAGATGTGAAACACTGGGGTTAAGTCATGGATTACGAGGCATTTCTCCTGCATTGTCTTGAGCAGACGGAATTTGAGACTCGTACCATGGACTGCACACATGGAGGAGATATTTACACATAGCCTGGTAGACAGAGATGAAGGCAGAGGTGGAAGTCATGAGGTCATGACAGCCTGAAACTGGAAGAGACAAGGGAAGATGCTTCCCTGAAAGTTCTAGAAGGTGTATGATCCTGGCATCTTGATTTCGTATGGGTCTTCTAGAACTGTGAAACGAGATGTCTGTTGTTGGTAAGTGCCCGCGTATGGTGTTTCATTACAGTAGCTCAAGGATACCAGCTAACCGTACCACCCTGAGCAGAAGACCAGCCATTCCTCTCATCCTTGCAACAATGTTTCTGCAAAGGGCTGAGGCTATGAGGAGCCTGAAGTCCAGAGGTGGCCGCACACATTCCATCCTGCCTCATCAGAGCCATTTCCCAACAGAACTGTAGTAGGACCTAGCCTCTTCACTGTGACCAACACCGGGCTGACGAGGACAAAGGAGGCCGTGGAGAGTGGCTGGGTCTCCTGTTTTCTCTCTGAGGGCAGGGATTCCTTCAGGTACAGTACTTGTACAGAGGTGAAAATGTAGATTTCCCCTCAGTTATACAGCCTGTCGACTCGAGCAAGCAGGAACCTCCGTGTTCTGTAGTAAATCATTTTACTACGTTCCTCTCTTGCATGTGGGCCTGGAGAGGGCAGGCAGCCAGGAGGAACACGTGGGATCACAGCTGTTGCTATGGTGAAGAACAGAAAGCACAAGACACAGGAGCAGGGAGTCTGGCGAAATCAGGCTTTCTCCCTCTAAAGTTAACATGGCAAGCTAGAGTCTGGGCCAGTCAGAACCTGGCCCTGAAGCCCACAGAGACCTTGTAGATAGGCAAAACCATGTAACTCACACGGGAGGGAAGATCAAAACCAGAGGACCATCAGCTCAGGAGGCTATGGGGACTTGAGACAAGACTTCGTAGAAAAATAGAGTCATAGAGATTTACCTCCTTAGATCCCTGCATGTGGCCCCCCATTCTCTGCACAGCCATAAGCTGAGTTCCCGTCTCCAGCCATTGCTAGGCCAGAGAGCTTGGTGAATTGGAAACTTGCAATTGCTTTGTCACTTGCATAAGAGAGCACCCAGGTCAGGGTCATCTCATTAGTAACTGGGAGATTGTGATTTTTGCAGGAGCTGCTCTGTCCTCACTTAACCCCTCTGAAAGGTTGGGAGGAGGGATGAACATCCTGGGGGTGGGAACCAAGCCATAGCCACACCTATTTTATTGAAAACTCCACAGGTGGGACCCAGGCATCACCATTTTCAATGCTTCCCAACGCCCCCAGACTGTTTCTTGTCCAGCCAAGTTCAAGGCTGAGTGGACTGTGTAATATCCATTGTAGGACCTTATCCTCTGAGAGTCATCGCTGCCGTTTTCATCAGAGCAGCTGTGCTTCCTTGCAGGAGACCCTCAAAATGAAACCTGCTGACTGTGAACATTCCTTCAGGAAGAAGGGTTGGAGGGGGTCAGTGGTGTCTTGCCTTAGATTCTGCCTATTCCCTCCCACACATCCTAGCCATTTGTATGTGAATTTAACCCAACTGCACGTGGCCCTGGGAGGTGGTTAGAATATACAGACCAACCGTAGATGGTTCAGTAAGAGGGGGACTCCATCTACTGTAGATAGTTTAGTAAAAGGGGGGGGGGTTCTATCTATCCAGTAATAGAGAAGTTATCATTCATGTTGGGGTGAGATCTTTTTTTTTTTTGGTGTTGTGGCAGCTTGGGGGTCACTCATGATCCCGTAAGAAACTCCTCATCTTTGCCCTGTAAGCAAGTCCAATAAATTCACTGGTTCTCCCAGTCCTTGGTGTCTATAATGAAGAGATAGACATTTGTCTACATGTTCCTAGAGAAAGTTTCCAAAGCATATTTAAGCTTCTCCCAGAAGAAATGTCTCTGTCCACATACACATGTGAACTGGGGCTGTTGATTTCAATTCTCTAGTTGTTAGGATCTATTGCAAAACCCTTGCCTAAAGTTCCACACTCAGCCCATGTTTATTTATTTACAAGGTCCCCTGAGGAATTACACCATTCCTGGAGGTTCTGCAATCCCAGGCCTCTGCATAAACTGCACAGAGCAAGCTCCCATGTTCCCTCCCCGCCCTATCAGGTATCATGCTGAAGTGCTCACGCTCAACGTTCTGGTCATGTTACTGCCGTTTGCTAAATGATACAATACTAAAATCTACTCAGGTTTTAAAACTTCTTAGGCTCTCCCATGCGTTTTATGTAGAGGAAGGGTTGGGGGGGGGATAGAAATACAAGGGCATCTTTTCTGTTCATTGTCTCTCAGAATTTACTCTGAGTGGCCCCCTGCCGTTCTGGACGAAGGTGCAATGCAATCTAGTCAGTCACCCAGCAACCACTGAGCACCCTGACTGAGGATGGGCACCTTTAAACTGGACGTCAAGAGGAGATCAGGTGGCACTGAACCCAGCAAGAGCCACAACAGCTGTGATTTGAAAAATCACTGCATCTCGGCAATCTGGCAACTGCTCCTTTAAGCATCAGTTTGGATTTTTGTAATGACCCTGCTACATAAACATCATTTTCCTGCTGAGGAAATGAAGACCCAAGTAAAATGCCAAGATTGCAAATCTCAACTGATTTGCCATTCAGAGCTGTGACTGTAGACATCTCTGTTTCCATCAGGTACTAATTTCAGAGAGAAGGGAGATGCACAGAGATAGCAGGGAAAGGGTTAATATTATGGGAGGACTCGGGTAGAGGAATTGCAGAGAATTAAAGATGTTGCATTAGGTATGACCTGAGCTCACTCCCGAGAGAGAGAGAGAGAGAGAGAGAGAGAGAGGAGAGAGAGAGAGAGAGAGAGAGAGAGAGAACGACGCTGGAACAGAGGAATTCATTCTGGAGGGCTCGTTCTTCTGCAGTCAGTCCCTGCTCCCTCAAAATCGTCCCCAGAACAAGCCCATTGTGTTTTGTGATTCCGTGGCTCAACAACAGTTTTCTGGCCGTCAGCAGAACACAAGGTACAGGGAGGGGAAAGGGGGTGGGGTGGTAGGGGAAACTAGTGGAAGCCCCTTCCCTCCAGTGCCTATCTCCAGACTCAAAGTGAATCAGGATGTTCTCTCTCTCTCTCTCTCTCTCTCTCTCTCTCTCTCTCTCTCTCTTCCCTCTCTCTTTCAGACTCTATCCACTAAATGCCTCAGAAATCTAAGTTATTATTTGAGAACCCCACTGAGCAAACGTCGCCCACTTGTGAAGCCAGATGTAGAACCAGGGGAGGTAACACTGGCCGGAAGCAGCGACATTCGGGGGGAAAAAGAAAGAAGACATGGATTTTCCTAATGAGGCTTCCCCAAGCCACCATTTCATGCCGTAGCTGAAAGAAAGAGACCATCAGAGGACCTTGGGGTGCTGGAGAAATTCAGTGTACAGAGTGAATCAGATGCCAGGCAGATATTTCATTAAAAGGTTCTAGAAATGTCTGTTACATTTAAAGAGTGGAAACTCCTCCCACCATCCTGTGTAGCTACACAGATGTCAAATACATACGCGGGGGCACACAACGTATACAATATCACATATACAGACTGAAGGGCTGTATGTCTGGTGATGATAAGGTGAATGAATCCCATAGCCTACTCCTTCCTGTGGAAGATGACCTCCTTTATTTAAATGAAGGGTAAGAAAAAAAACATACTCTATCGTTGCAATTAAATAATATGCTGTTAAGTCAAGGCACAGTCTTGATTGAGCTACTGTGTCAGCATGCCCTGCCTGTGGGTCGTGTCTCTCCTGGAGGGGAATCCGCACTGGCTCGTGAGGACTGTAGTGATAAAAGATGGGGTTTGCAGACTGAAAGAGGGCATGGGATATATTCTGATATTACTTTCTCTAATACACTTTAAGACACGGCATCAAGATGGCAATCTCTAAATTAGCTGCTATGCCTTAAACCCAGGGGCTAGGAATAAGTCAGCAAGACAGAAAGCCCATACACTTGTTTTTCTCTCTCTTAAAAGCTTATCAAGTTAGAGGAGCATTCTTAACAGGTTTGTAACACACACACACACACACACACACACACACACACACACCCCTTTCCTTACAACTGGAAATCCCTCTCTTATACTCAGCATTGAAGGACGTAGTAAAGCATCGTTCTACCTTTTTGCTGATCGAACACAGCTGAGGGGCTGAAATCCATGGTAGCCTGTCTCATCGTTTACCGTAAGAACGACAAAAACCATCCAGGGCTCTGGAGAAGAGAAAACACCAGCTCACACGCTGCAGCCAACACGCCAGTCGGCTTCAGCATCGTTGGCCGAGGCTCCTGTTGGAGAATTAAGTGAGCATTAGATCTGCAGGTTGCCTTCAAGGCCAGCGCTGAAGAGAGGTAAAACAGTCCTCTTATAAAAACTGGGGGGGGAGGGGGGGGGAAGAGTTACTCTCTGAGCCTCATTCACCATCTATACTCATGTGTGAGTATTACACACCCCTCCCCCAAAACAGATAGACAGAACAGTCCAAATCCTAAAATGAAACAGTCTTCGTGGGGGTGCGTACCTTGGATCGTGGCCAGGGAAATGCTGCAGGTCTTAGCGCTTCAGCGGCCGGAAGGTTGCTTTAAACCAATAGAAACCTCAATGAGTGAGTGAGGAGCCAGACGGAGCATGTGCAGAGCTGCTAGCACAGACCTGCGTTTGGGCTGTCTCTTCTTGGCGGAGTGAGAACTGCATTTGGGTCACGTGAGAAGAGAGAGGGGCCATCTCAATGGAATAGGATGTAAATATTGGAGCAGGAGGCTGCAGGGCACGTGCCCTGCTGAGCAATTATGCGTGGGCGCTGTTTTTCTTCAGGCTCCCTGCAGTGGTCTCCTCCTGACCGGGAGACTTGCGGAGGGGAGTGGTATTTGCTTGTCAAGGCTCAAGTGTCTGCGCTGGCTGAATCAAAACAGTCTGCGGCCACAAGGGTGGGTGTTACTGCATCATGCATGAAACCGGACAGGTCACCAAGTGTACACCTCTGAGAAGGAGCGGAGAAAATGGTAGTAAATTCATCCTTTAGGCTCAAAAGCCTGAGGGGGAAATTTTGATCTCATTTGCATCGGATGGCTCTATTTACTGCTAAGTGAAAGCCTCTATCTCCACGGCTCATCTCTTTGTGCTTTTATAAAATCAATACATTTTATTTGTTTCTGGGGGCTTTGTCTCTCTCTCTCTCTCTCTCTCTCTCTCTCTCTCTCTCTCTCTCTCTCTCTTCTCTCTTTCTGTATGTGTGCATGTGTGCATATGTGTGTGTATATGACCAGAGGATCTCTCTTCAGGACCACCATTGTTTTTCTAGATACAGCCTCTCCCTGAAATGTGGACCTGGTCCACACGACTAGGCTGACTGGCAGTAAGCCCAGGGCTCTCTTATCTGTCCCCGGACTGTTGGGATTGTAAGTGGCATCACCTGGTGTTTTACGTGTCAGTGATAATGACAAACCTTTTTTTTTCCCCTTTTTAATTAACAGATATTTGAATTTGGGAATAAATACAGGAATAATTTTTCTCTGCACTTAGCTATATTAATAAGTTATTGTGTGCTACTGGGGACTGAACCCAGGCTTCATATTTTAAATAAGAGCTCTGTCACTGAACACACACACACACACACACACACAGATACAAAGCCCCAGACACAAATGCAGAGCCCATACAATTGTTTGGACACAGCAATCTAATGGTTTTGTTAGTTTGTTCTTCTAGACAAGGTTTCTCTGGAACTAGCTCTTGTAACCAGGCTGGCCTCAAACTCACAGAGATCTGCCTGCCTCTGCCTCCCAAGTGCTGGGATTAAAGACGAGTGCCATCACTGCCCAGCTGTAGCAATCCAATCTATTATCTATGTTCCTCTGTAGGCAAATTTCTTTCTTATCTTTCGCCTCATATTACCTAGGTGCCTATTATTTATTTTCCACAAAAAAAAAAAGAAGGGTCTCAGGTCCCAGTGACAATCTATCACTCACTCACTAACAATATTACAGCCACTTAAAACTAGGACTTAGTCACTAACACCATGAATCACTCAGCAGTGCTAGTGAGTACTCAGCAATGCTATTATTCACTCTCTTTCCCCATATGGTCTCCTTCCTTCAAAATGCTCTGCAACCTTTACCTAAAAACACAAGCAGAAGCAGGTCAAGTTCTTGCTTTAGCGCTTTTAGATTCAGGTCCTCAGCAGACTACATAAATGGTAGGTAGATGCGGCGGTCTGACTATAATCTCAGTGCTGGAGAGGTGGTGGCTAGACAGTCGGTGAACTCTGGTTTCATGTGAGAGACGATGCCTGCCTCAGTTATGTAGCGGTGAGCCAGTAAGGAAAACACCCTGCATCAACTCCGGCTCCCACATCCATGTGCAAACGTGTGTGTGTGCACGCGCGCGCACACACACACACACACACACACACACAGAGCGCGCGCCCAAGAAATACAATTAAAATAAAAAATGCATTCAGACATGCTTAATAACCCAGTACTCAAATATATCGCTTAAGTTTCCCAGCACCAATCTCTTAAATTAAGGATGTGCCACCAACCAAGGGGGCTGAGAACAGATTGGGGAGTCTACCTATTATTTTTCTTGTTGCCGCGGACAAAAGCAACTTAAGAAGGGAGGGTTTGTTTGGCTCACACTTGGAGAGTGCAGCCCACCATGTTGGTAGGGGTTTGAGGCAGCTCGCCCCACTGCATCTGCAGGGAGCAGAGAAGGATGGATGCTGGTGGTCAGATGGCTTCTGTAGGCAGTCTCACTGCATACAGCCACTCACAGTTGGTGCGTCTTCCTACCTTACTTACCCCAGCGCAGAAACTCCCTTATAGATATGCCCTGCAATTTGTATCCTAGGCATCTCGGATCTAGATCCTATCAAGTTGGCAATCAAATTAATCAGCACAGGGAGGGAAACTGTTAATTAGAGTAGCAGATACCAGGGAGGGGCAGCCTAAGTCCATCGAGCTGGCAGACATCGCTACTACTCAACCCCCAGCAAAAGAACAATGAAGGGTTTAGACTCTCCCTTGCATCTGTTTGGTCATGCATTCCTTCACCACTGCAGCAAGAGCACTGTGGCGCTGTGCCCCAGCCATTTCTAGAGACACTGAACACGCAGATTGAGCAAGATGGGGAAGGTGCAGCATTCAAATGAGCTCCCCTTGTGGGTGCAGAGGCTGCTCTTGGCCATGCTGGAGCCACAGGGATTGGCTTTAACCAGTAGAATACTGGAGCAACTTTGCCCAAACACAGGAAGATGGTGACCCTAGGAGAACACCAGCCAAGGTCAGCCTGCTGATTCCCCCGCCCATTGCATTGCCTGGAGAGTTTCCAGGCTGTTGCATGGAGTGGGTTGAGGGCTCAGTGGTCTGTAGAACGGTGCATGAAAAGATATCCATGTTCTACTCCTGAGAAGCCATGAATATGACCTTATTGACAGGAGGAGCCTTAGCAGCTGTAATGAAGGAGCTCTATTTGAAATCAGCCTCAGTGATTTGTATTGTTCAAAGGGCACTCAGGGACAAGGGGGGGAGAATATGGGGCAACACAGCTTCCAGTCAAGTGTCACTTGTAGCCACCAAGACAAGTTGACAATTCTGAGGAAAGAGGAGGAAGAAGGTAGGAATCCTCTGTCTCCTTCTAAAGACGGATCTGGACTCTGTCAACACCTTGACTCTGAACTCTTGCTTCCTAGACCGTGAAATGATCAGTTTTTGTTGTTGCTGGAAGCCACTAAGCTTGTGATAATTTTGTTAAGCAGCTTCAAGAAATGAACACAGAGAAGGACTTTCAAATTAAAATTAAAATCTCCCCAAATTCCTACATTTCCGTGACAACATGTATTGTTACACAAGCCAACGTAATAGTTATAGATATTTTCATCTTATAAGGGGGCTAATTTGGGCTCTTTCTGAAGAAAGACAGACAGGCAGGTAGATTGGAGGGGACATGGCTTGAGTTTGTTACATAAGTATGGCTTGGGCAGACTGCACAACTTTTTGGAACTCTGCATTTTATAATTTCCCACGAGAATTCATGGTTACCATCATTCTTTCACCTTTCTGGGCTCCAAAAACGTTGGATATTTTTAAAAATTGTATTTTACGGTGCATTTTGAGTGAGGGCGTAATGTCCCACTGCAAGACACAGCGTATTTTTATCACTCAGAAAGTTCTGTGGCATTCCTTACAGGCTAGCCCCTCCCCTGGCAAGCAGATAGTCACAGCCGATTGGCTACTTTTCCTGTCACTGTGACAAAGCACTTGGCAACAGCAACTTAAGGGAGGGAAGATTTATTTTGGCTGCGGGTTTCACCATGACAAGAACCACAGAGAGAATCAAGCATGCTCGGCTGAAGCCAGTGTGGAGGAAGTGTGAGAAAACAACTTGTTACACTGTGTCAGACAGGGAGCAGAGAGACCAGGACTGGAAACACGGCCAGCCTAGAAAGTAACCGCCACTTCCGAATGACCCACCTGTGAGAGCCAAAGCTACATTGTAAGTTTCAATTACTATACCTAAGAGATCCACTAAACAAAAATGCCCCTGATCTGCAAGCCCCTTGTCCAAGGACGATAGTTCCTGAAATGCTGCATGCTATTGTTTATGGGGGATAACAAGCAAGGCACATGCTTTCGCTCCCCTAAATAAGTTTGTTTGACCCATCTGTACCGGATGTGCTTAATCTCATGTGGGTGGGAGGTTCACAGGCTGGAGGTAATGTCAGGATGTATATTTGCCCCTGAGTGGACCTGGTGGGAAATGCAATGAATTATGGGTTTTCCTTCTTAGGCCTCTGCAGACTATGATTCTGAACCATTTCCTGGGAACCTGGGTATGGACCTGGCCAGAGCCCATCCACCTGGCTTCAGATTTGGCTTTAAACTGTGGTAGTGGTCTTATTCTCGACTGGTGGAATTAACACACCCCTTCCAGTCAGCCAGGACACATGACCCCCTACAATAGTGCCACCTGGGCTTCAACCCTATGAGTCTATGGTTCACACTTCAGACTCCCACCATGGCGGCCACCTATGGCCTGCAGTGGTGCACCAACTCTTCTCTATGGTGTGGGAGAGGAAAAGAAGATGCGTGGTCTGTGTGGCCATGCAAGTCTGGCTCTTTCCTTGGCCTCCAGTTCGTTCCTCACCACCCTTCCACTCTACGCTCAACACCTGACCACGTTAGTCTTCTTCTGTGTCCAGAACGCCACACCCTTTCTTATGCTGAACATACTTTGCTATTCTGTGCCTTACTTTGTCTCCCTTTACCCCAGCCCAGAGGTCACCATTTCCAACATGCTTCCTTGATCACAACCACCCAGTCTAGAAGAGTCCTCAACTTCTGAACCAATCGTCACTTCCTTGTTTCGAATGCCACTTTATGAATTTGGAATGAAAAATATTGCCTGCCAGGCAGACAGGGCTTCTGCTCACGCTGTGATACCTCAGGGTGTCTCAGACTATCCATGGTGAAGGACCAGAATTCCCAAACCTTTGGAGATCAACATGTTCTTAAAATGTGTTTACTCAATGTGTGTTTAGGCATTACTATACTGTGCAGTCATACATACAGAATCCACTGGCCACATATGGTTGTTTAGGTTCTGTTTCTCAACCACAGTAACAACTAGAATTCGACATTGTCATAATTAAACCCAAT